CTGCTCCCTCCCGCTCACGCGTTTGATTGATGGCCTTATTAACTGGAGTTCTTGTAAGTGTGACCGAGCTGATTAAAATGCATATGTTTGGAATAATACACCGTTTAAGCCTCCCGGGTCGAGGCGAAACCACAAGGCAGATTTATGTAAACTATCAGCCGGTGTCTTTAAGCCTGATGGGGACGCGGGTCACGCAAGAAAATTGCTTTAGTTTGTGCTTAATAAAATCGCACCATAAAAATAAAGATGAACGGGGCGGACTAACGGAATATTCAGAAGGTGTAGTCTCTTTAAAAGGAAGGGGAAAATGGTTTCATGGTGGGTTCTTTTCTCTCTTTTTTTAACAGTCTGGGAAATTTGGAGTTGACTTTCAACAGGAGCAGCAGCACTACACGGCCATCTAAACCTCGAGTCACACTGTGCCAAAACGACGCATTAAAGTGAGGCAAATTACAACCACATTTACCCAGCCACACATATGGGCTCCCATCTCTTTGCCGGGGAAACTATACGGCTGAATCCTCAGTGGCCTAATCCGGCATCAACATGCCATTTAATCGCTGGAATATTTCGTGTGACTGAGCTTCAAGATATGATGGGCTCGTAGATTGCGCACATAACAGCAATTACATCAGCCTTATAAGATCCTATTAGTGCGAATTGGCACAGGTCTCCCCAGCTCCCACAACCAACACAAAGCATTTTGATAGGGGCGGTGTAGTGCAGCTGTCCACAGACAGCAAATTTAAAAAAAAGGAGCTGTGGCTGCTGTTACCGCTGTTTAAATTGGATTACATCCTAATTTACAGACCCCTGTCGTAACGCAAGAGGCTGGCGGAGGCGTAGAAGGACCAATCACCAAGTAATGATGATGAATGAGAGATTAATGCGCATACAAGCAAGACAATTTGAGCCTTCATCTGTTTAAATAGGCTTCCAATATCATTTGGAAAACGGAGGTCACGTTAAATCAATCGGGGGACGCGTGAAAGTCATTTTCGGAGGCGTCTTTATCAACATTATTTACGGTGCACCGGAGACAGCTATGTGCAGCAAGAAAATGTGACGGCTGTTGCGTGCTTATGTGACAAAGAAGAGCAAGCAAGACAGAGCATGACGCATCCAGGCTATCAAAAGATGCACTTAAATCTTTATCGTTAGCTGTTCAAATTAAGTGGCGGCTACACCGTTTCTCAGGGCGTCTGCGCAGACCCAAGATAGAATCTGTCCCCTGAGCAATCCAGATAAACTGGGTTGGTTTTGTAGAGTGGTTCTTTGAAGCAATACAGAGCTCAATGTCATAATTTGGAAAGAATTGTGGCTCAGAGCACAACTCAACACAAGTTTACAGTCTTAACGACTCAAAAGATAACAAAAACTCTTATTATCCCTTGTAAATGTCTACTTCCTTAAATATATGATAACTGAAAGTCTTTCGTTTGGGCCCAAAACATCGCGAGTACTAAGCAGATCTTGGAAACCGGTTCAATTAATTCAAACAACAAGGAAAATCTTTTGCAGGCTTCCTATTGTGTTGCAAGCCGGATCAACTTTGTAACTGAAAAGTACCAACCAGCAGACCCATCTACCACAGGGGAGACAAAATATAACGGCAATTATAGTTGCTAAATGTTATCAGGGGCTTCTACACAACAGGTTTAGGCTATATTCAGTGCAAAAGGAATAAAAAATATACATAGGCTGCATCTGAAAATGACCTACTGTTACACGTCATCCAAACAGAAAAGGGATTATATTCGGATTCAGCACAGAACAAACAGTGTTTTAAATTACTGACACCAAACTTTGCAGCACATATCAAACATTATTTGTTAACCTTCCAGGGTTTCATCTATATGGCGAAATTTAAACAAAGGCATGTTGTGTTAAATACTCAAGAGTTACCAAAACTTACACTTAGGTCCATTGTGGTCGACAAAGATGCAATTTGTTTTAGCAGTGGATTTAAAATCACACAACCAAAATGTGATTGAAGCGCAAACTTCCAGTCTTAAGTCAAGACTCAAGGGTTTTGTTTTTTGTTTTTTTAACAAAACAAAAAATCTGGAATAACCGTTTAGAAATTACAGCAATTTTTATGCACAGCCTCGCATTTTCAGAGGTTTAAAAACAATTGGACAATTGATTGACAAGCAGTTTTATGGTCACGTGACCTCTCTTCTACTTTTTCGTTCAGACATACTATATGAAGTTGAGTCAAAGCGTTTACTTTATATTTACTTATAGCTTTTCACTGTCATTTTAAATATGCTGTCCAAAGAGGTGTCAGCCTAAGTGTGTAATGTTAGTGAAACGAGGATGTTATAGTTGTATGCACTGGGAAAACCCACCGAAAAGCCCAACTCTTCAAGAAAAGCACGGATCCTGCTAGCCTGTAATCTTCTGTGTGCAATGACAAGAAACATAATGATATAACAATGCTGACCCATGCAGCATGTTAAAGATGGTGACAACAAACGTGTGTCTTCTAACCAATTCTGTACATAAAATATGCCCTCTTGCAAAACACACAAACAAATGCTAAATTTAAGGACTAAAACAAAATAACTGAGCCATCATCTTTTTCTCCATCTGATCTACAGCTCTGAGTGTCTAAGGGATAGTCACTGATTATGACATTACATTGCACATGATTGGATGAATAGTGTCCACGAGGTACTGAACAGGCATATGGTGAAAATAAGAAGCAAAACTACAGTAAGAAGTCTACTGTAAGTTTTGAGTGCAGCAATCTATCCCTGAGGAAGAAGTACTGGGAAGACAAGCCTGATGACAACGATTGGTGAGGTAAATTGTAAATATGTTGCTGAAAGGTTTCATTATCCACTGCATAGAGTATAAAAAAGGTTTAGAGTGGGTACAGGTTTGTCATCTTCTATTAAACAGCTGTTGTGGTGAACTCAGTCTCTTAGAGGTAACAATATTGGGATCCATGTTTCATTTTTATCATCATTAGAGCTTCTGGTTCTGGAAGGGTTTCAGACTGGGATGGAAGATACAAGGATGCCTTTGACTGTCCATTTAAAAAACGTCACTACAGCTGATTTACAACTGTATATACCCTTGAATCGTGGAAATCACTGTTCCATAAGAAGGCTCAATGAGTGCATTTTGGTCATAAAAACTGGACTTCCTGCAGTTTCTTACAGTTAAATGATTCCAAACCAGAGGTCATGTTGTTTGGCCTTCCACTAAAGGTTAAAAGATAACATGGACTTTTTAACTCCTTTAATTAAAACACAAGTTAAGAACAGTGGGATAATCTTTGACACAAATTTGAAATTTCATAGACAAATAGATTAAGTGGTTAACAGCAGTGACTTCCAGCTCAGAACAATCTCCAGATGAAAAACAATAAATAAATAAAAATTAAGGTTCTGGAAAGGGTTATGCATGCCTCTGATATATCTAAATACTTTTGGAACGTGCTGTATACCACAGTTGGCCAGTCATCTCCTGCCTATTTCAAATTAGTCCAAAATGCTGCAGCCAGATTACTGACCAGGACAAAAAAGAAAGCCCAGATTACTCTAGCGTTAGCAGTTTTTCACTGCCTCCCTGTGGATTTGGATTAGAGGATCTGGTTAAAGTGACACTGCTTGTGTTTAGTCTTAAAGGGGTTTTGCACCTGCATATGTGGTAGATATGCTCCATCCATACCCTCTGAAGATCATTAAGGTCTGCTTCTCAATCACTCCGCTTATTTCAAAAAAAGTTTGTGCCTTTGCTGTTGTTGCACTAAAGCTCTGGAATAACCTCCCAAATGACCTCAGACAAAGATCGAGTGTGACTGTTTCCAAACCTAAGCTGAGGACTTACCTCTCCAGTCAAACTGTTGGAAACTGTTGTTTTCGAGAACTGTGATTGGAGGGCTGGCTACAGTTGGGTTATTTCAAATTAAAACTGTGAATGTGTGGAGCGTCATTATTTCTTTAAAGAACCTGTTCCATTTTACTTTGTGTAAAGGACTTTGGTTTTAAATGTGCTATAGGACTAGATTTTACTTACTTAAAATGCAGATTGTCAAAAGGTTTGAATTTTGGCT